GCTGAGTGAATTCCTCAGTGCTATCTTTCGGTTCTGCCGAGTCCCGTGTGTAGTTTAACTTGTCCATTTGTGTTTTTATAGATCTTATATTAAAAGTCTGATTCTCTTCATTCCGAAGTAGACACATGAGTAAAGTCTGAAGAATGTGGGGCTAGCAGGTGGCGTGGTGGTTAAGGCGCTGGACACTCCCACATGGCCGGCCATGGTTTGAGTCCTGGACCTGGTGGCTTGCTTTCTTACTTTCCCTGTCTCTGTGTCTCTCTCTGGTCAAACTGAAATAAATGAATTAATAAATAAAATTAAATAATTCTTAAAAAAAAATAAAGCCTGGAGAATGGACCCGGCATGCAAGACAGGAGGAGGGATGGGCTCCGCTCGGCCACTGTGACTGGAAAGAGAGATGGCATCTCTGACTGCGGAAATCGACCGGCTGAAAAACTTTAGCTGCTTAGAAATTTCCTCAAATTTGGAGAAAATGCAAAATGCTTAATACTGTGCCTGGCTATATTAAGTACTAACTCATTAATTTTTATTTGCCAGATGGCATATGCACGTGCTAGAAAGACAGAGGGAGAGGGTTAAAGCACCGTCCACTAGGGTGTGGTCGAGCTATGATTCCTTCTCCATTTCTCCATCTACACAGCTGGTGTGTTTTTCAAGCTGCCACAGCCAGGTTTCAAATGGGGCCAGTTCAACAGTAACATTTTTTATTTCTTAGCAATTTCCTTCTCTCTCCTTCCTTCTCTTTTCCTCCTATTGCTAGAGGGCACATATGCTTGCTAGAGAGAAAGCATCTCCCCACCCACCTGGCATAGTCATGCTGTAATGCTTTTATATTTCTCCATCCCATCATGCTTTGGGGCGCGCACGCACGCGCGCACACACACACACACACGCACACACACACACACCCCTGGTGGAAAGATTTGAACTGTGGTTGGCATTTGAGATCTGGCTCCCTATGCACGGTGCTTAACTGTAACACTTACAGGGACAATCCTATTTCTTAGTAATTTCTAAAATGAAATGGTACTTGTTAGGAGGGTGACAAACGCATCATCCTATTTGCCTTTTTTTTTTTTGGAGAGGTTTTCGCTATAGGGCACGTGCGCTCACCAGAGAGACAGAGAGAGACATAGAGACAGAAAGCAAGAAATCACCCCCAGGGGGGATGGTCACGCCGCAATCCCTTCTCCTCCATTCTCCTCTAGGGATCTTGGCATGCACGCACACGCGCCCAACATGTTTTTCAAGCCACCAGGTCCGGTCAGCCATGAGGAAGCCAACTGCCTCAACCACCATGCCACTGGCTCGCCCCATGAACATAGTATTTTCAAAAGGATAATGAAATAAAAATTAACATGAAATAAGAGGCCAGTGTGGAGGATAAATGTAAAATGAGAGTTGAGGTTAGAGACAGTATCTTTGATATACAATTCTTACCACTGGAACTATCCATAACAGGACAGGAAGATTCACAAAAGATGAGCTGTCATCAAGTATTTAACAGACACTGATGGACAGCTTGACAGGCAACACAGAAAGGATTCCTGTATCAGAGAATGTTAAGTCAGTCGTAAAATAAGGAAACTATGTGGACTAAACAAATTAGGGAGTTATTTTAAGTGGTTTTTGCTATAGGGTGCATGCGCAAGCCAGAAAGACAGAGAGAGAGAGAGACAGAAAGTGAGAAATCACCCCCCCC